ACACTGAGACAAGGGGGATGTTCTATCGGGAACTCACCAAAGCCAACTGGCCTGGGTCTGAAAAAGCCCGGGTTAAAACCGGTCTCGCTGAACATAGTGGACAATGAGGACTACTGAGACCTCAAGAACAATGGCAATGGGTTTTTGATCCTACTGTACCTATTGGTTTCGTGGGAGCCTAGGCAGTTTCGTGGAGGCTCACCTTACTAGACCTGGATGGAGGTGGGTGGTCCTTGGACTCTCCGGCCCTATTTAGTCCTACTCAGTCGGGGCCTCTTGCCTGGGTGGGGGTGGGGGTGGTGCTAGCGAACTGCAGGTAAATGAGGCTTAAGGTCTGGCTGGATGAATGGAGCTCAGAGCCACAGGCGTCCAGGGGAAGGTGGAAAGTTGCGGTCTATGTTTGGAGAACAGCACCAGGGTGTACTGCCCGTGGGCAGTTTTGAGGAATGGCACTAAAGGGTGGGACTTGATGGTGATTTGAATGGGGTTAGTGGATAGAATTTAAAGCCAGCGTATAACAGAGCAAGAACTGAATAGAAGAGTTTGCGGCATAAGGTGAGGCTTGCTGGGTGAGGTTTACATGGGGTTGAGGCGTGCAAATTCAGCTACAGCACCAGCTGGGGAGGAACGCAGACCAGTGAACTTCTCAGGTCCCTTAGCCTGTGGATCCGGGTTGGGGAGGCTGGATTGGGACGCCGCAGCTCCGCGTGGCTGCAGGCTTGGAGACGCAGCGTGGCTAGTTTGCAGCGTGGCAAACTAGCCGGCTGGCTATGGCCCATTGCTTCCCAATACCTGTTGAGACCAAGTTTCAGGGGGAGTTCCTTGGAATGTGTACCCACTTTGCCAACATGAGGATCAGGGCTTGTCCCGCCGGCTGCCTTCACGGGAGAAAAGGAGAGTGATCTAAGAGAGTAACTTGATACAGGTTCATACGCCTGCACGTGCAGGCGTGTGGGCAGGAGACAGACGGTCAACAGTCACAAGGCCATGAATTAAAGACAAAGTTCTAGACTGGGGGCGTAAAGTTAATCGAGTGCTGGCCTAGGATGCATGAAAACTGAGGTTCTAATGTTACCACCACGTAAAACTGGAGGCGAACATCTCTAAACCCAGCATTTGCAAAGACAGGTGCAGATAATCAGAAGTTCAAGGCCAGCCTGGGATTTATGATTCCCTCCCCCACCACACACATGCACTGCACGAGTTTGGTACCTAGGTGGCTGAGACATCCAAATTCAAGGTCTACCTGGACTGCAGAGTTCAGAGAGTTTAAGAGCAACTTAGTGAGGATCTGCCTTAGTAAAAAGAGGGCTGCGGTAGAGTGTTTACCTAATATATAACCCTGTACCAATCAGGGAAGAGTCAGAAGTGCTACAAATCCCAGTACTGGAGAGTCCAAGGGAGAAAGATGATAAGTTTGAGACCAACCTTAGCTGCACAGTGAGATTCCCCTCTCAACAGCAAGAACAACAAGCATATTGTTCTTGAAATGTGTAGTCCTCCCATGGTAGAGGGCTGCAGAGCAGAGACCTGGAGGTCATCAGCAATGGTGCAGGTATGGGTACTATTTGAGCATCCCAGGCTGAAGTGAGGGTTCTCCTGAAGTCATTTTTGCACGTCGGACCCACAGCTCTCCTGAAACTCTAGTGACAAGAGGCTGGCAAGGCTGACTGAGAGAAGCAGCTGGGAACCCTCCTTCACACCCGTTCATCTCACGGGGATACTCGGGACTCCAGGTAGCTGTCAGCCAGTCCTGACTCACCTTGTGCCAAGTTCACCCTTTCGGTTTATTTTCTTTTCCATTTTTCATGTGAGTGTGTGTGTGTGCAAGTTTTTGCATGTGTGTAGGTGTGAATGCGCTTGTGTGTGTGTGTGCATGTGGAAGTCTGAGGTTGCTATCAGGAAACATCTTCCACCGTTCTGTTCATTGAGGCAGGACAGGCCATCAAGTCCACAGCACGCTGAAAGGACTGCTCTCCCTAGAAGTCGCTCCCTAGCCATTCCATTTTACTTTTTGAGACAGAGTCTCTTCAGTCCAGGATGGCCTTGAAGACCTGATCCTTCCGCCTCTGCATGCAAAGGCACATGCCACCATGCTCAGTTTATAAGGTGCTGGGGCTAGAACCCAGGATTTTGTGCACAGCAAGCCTCATATTTTTTGTATGCTTGAGGTTTTTATTCATTTCTAAATTAGCATGCAGAGTATTATGTATGGTTATGGTGTTTCAAACTTTAGAATGTTTTATGACATTATTTTATTTGAGTATATGTGTGAGCATATGCAAGACAGAGGACAACCCATGCTAGCTGGTTCTCTTGTACCATCATGTGAGTCTAAAGGATTGAACTCAGGTCGTCATCAGTCTTGGCAGCAAGCATTGTACCCCCTCATCACATCTTTTCGCTTATCTTCACTTGTACCCATCACATCTTTAATCTTATTTTATGTGTGAGTGTTTTGTCTGCAAATATCTGTGCACCATGTGTGTGCCTAGTGCCCAAGAAGGCCAGAAGAGGTGTTGAGTCAGCTGGGCCAGGAGTTCCAGACCGCATGTGAGAACTGGAAATCATGTCTAACTTCTCTAAAAGAGCAGTAAGTGCTCTTAAACACCGAGCTGGCCCTCCACCCTCTTGGGGTTTCTTAAAAATTACTTTTATTATTTTAAATTATATGGAGGCGTGTGTATCTTTCAAGATAAGTGCACACCAGTGCAGGTACTCACAGAGGCTAGAAGCATCTCATTCCTAGCACTTAGGGAGTAGAAACAGGAGGCTCAGAAATTCAAAATCAGCCTCAACTTGTGTTTAAAGCCAGTCTAGGCTACTTGAGACCCTGTCCTAAGGGGAAAAAAGAAAGGATGGGGGCTGGGAGATGGTTCTGTGGATAAAGGAATTAACCAACAAGTCCAACAACCTGACTTTAATCCCCAGAACCCACACAGCAGAAGGAAAGACTGATTTCCACAGGTGTGTTGTGCATGCATATGTTTCTCTCTCTCTCTCTCTCTCTCTCTCTCTCTCTCTCTCTCTCTCTCTCTTTCTCTCTCTCTCATACACCAGAAATAAACAAAAAAATAAACAAGTATACACTTTTAAATAAACAAGTATAGTTTTTTAAGGGGAAGAGAGCTGAAGAGGACTCGGCAGTTAAAAGCTTTTATTGCTATTGCAGAGTACCCAGGCTCAGTTCCCAGCACCAATATGGCAGCTCACAATCATTCCCAACTCCAGGTTTAGGGATCCAGCACCCTCTTTTTGGCATCAGGCACACAGGCACACATGAGTTGCATATATATATATATATATATATATATAAAGGCAAAACATTCATATAAATAAAATAAAATAAATCAACAAAAATAAAAGAAGATTAGCTGGGCGGTTGTAGTCTGAGAAAACTACAAAAGAAGAACAAAAAGGAGGGTGGGGTAAAAGTGGTTAGGAACATGTACTGCTCTTCCAGAGACCCAGAAGTTTCCTGCACCTGTGGTGGCAAAAAGTTCACAGCTGCCTGTAACACTAGCTCCAGGGAATTTGAGTCCCTCTTTTGGCCTTTATGATCACTTGAACTCACACACACACACACACACACACATAACAAAAACGGGAGTGGAGAGAAGGCTCAGCAGTTGCACACTGCTTTTATAGAAGATCCGAGTTCAGTTCCCAGCACCCAAGCTGGGCATCTCACAAACACGTGTAACTCCAGCTCCAGGGGATCTAATGCCTCTGGCCTCCAAGAGCACCTTGCAGGCACACAAACTCACATAGACCAACATATAATTAAAAGCAAAATTAAGAAAAACAGAGAGCATGTTGGTGTCCTAGGCCATGCTGTCACTATGGCCATACTGATCAAGATGGCCTGTGCTGCCACTGGGGCCATGGTGATGTCCAGGTCTGTGGTCCTGCTGCAGCTAGAGTCTGTGTTCATCTCCGTGGCCCCTCTTACCACAGGGGACATAGGAGCCATGCACATTGAAATCTAGGGCTATGTTGAGCCAGCATCGTCCTTCAATGGCCTGAGAG